CTCCCGACATTTCTGCAGCTTGAGGACCAAATACGATTTTAATACAGTGATTATTAGTTTAGAAGCCCTTCAGCCACTGACAAATGTGCTTAGCAGCACCAACAATGTTCCGATCTCGATGTCAAGGCGGGAGAAACACGGGGGAAAGATGACTCACGAAGCCGAGTGCCACTGGAAGGGCTGCCCTGGGGGAGGCAGAGGCGGCGAGGGCTTCTCCCTCTTGCCGATCCTGACCCCTGGACACGCAGCTCCTCAGGCATGATGGTTAGTAACTGTTCCGACAGCCCCTCCCAGCCGTGCTTTTCTCCTCCGGACTTTGCCTCTTGACACCGCACCCAGGATCTTGGATATTGCTAAACACTCAGACCTGCCTACAGATTTCCCAGCCTCCAACGCCCTGCCCCACACCTGCCGCCTTCCTTAAAGTAATATGATCAGCCACCACCTGTCTTGTGCAAGAGGCCCGTGAGCCACAGACACGAGGTGCTGCCAGCGATTAGCATGGCAGTTTTATGGTTGCAAGAAGGAACAGCTCTTTAAGGTCAAAACACAATAATGGGAAGGTGCATATTACGTGCATGTGTGTTTGTGTTTGTGCGGGTGCTTGTGAATGCTTGTGCATGTTTGCGCGTGTGAGGCTGAGGGAGAATGCAGGCAAGGTCTTTCCCCAGCAGAGGGCAGCAGCACACATGTTGAGGCCAGAAATGCCTGAGAAGGATTGACTGAAAACTCAAGCCAGCACCCACCTCCTCTCCCAGCGACCGGGGAACACATTCTTGGACCAGCCCTAGGTTTGCCTGGCTTTGCCCAGACCTGTCTCAGAGAGCCCCGATGGCAGCTGAAGTTCTGCCTCCATCAGGCAGGTGTTTTTGAAAAGCTCGGAAGCCGTCATTGAGTTTGGATTCTCCCCACAACGTTCTATCACATCTCCTCTTGCCCCTCCCCTCCCCATGCTTAATCAGGGTCAGGGGCTTTGGGGGAGGAGGTGGGAATGGGCTGAGGCAGGGGCTGGGGCACTTGAGAGCCCATCTGGACAGAGCAGGACGGGGTCTCCAGCAATACCCACTCCATTTGTCCGTCCCACCCAGGCTGTGCACCCCTGGTGGGTGGATGAAGCCTCTTGTCTGCCAGCTGGGCCTCCCAGCCCTGGATGAGTTGCAGTGACTAATATTGAGGTAACTCGCTGCAAAGGCAGCCCGAGGTGCAGCGCGCCCCTCCCCCTCCCGCGCCCACCCTTCGCCTCCCCAGCCAGTGTGCAGGCTTCTTCCCTGAAGGACCTGATGCTCATAAAGTTTATTGCTGTTCCCTGTGGCTGCTGGTGAGCAAGAGAGCAGCCATCCGGATTTCTGTCTCGGAAGGATTTATTCAGTGCTCTACAGAAAGCAGGAGACGCCGCTGGCCAGGGAGTGGGCTCAGCCTGGCCTGTGGCCCCTGGAAGCAGCAGGGTGAGGACGGGGAGGGCCCCAGAGGACTCTGTGGGGCAGAGATGCAGAGAAGTGGCCCGGAGGGGACAGGAGACCTGGTTCTGCCTCAGGCTGCCTGTGCCTGCCTCTCTGGGCCTCAGCCTCCCTATCTTACTGAGAGCTGTCTGACCCTGCCATGTTCTTACCCTCCTATGGGAAAACCCACCCTTGGATTCAGCAAGGCAATGTGGTGGGGGAAAATCACCATGGTGGGGGTCGGGAGGTTGGCGGAAACTCTTCCCAGTTGAAAGAGATTTAAGAGACCTGCTGACCCAATGCCTCTTGCCTGGATCCTCTTCTGACAAAGCATCAACACACATTGAGGGCCAGCTGGGACAAGGAGACGGCGGGCAGGAGGCAGATGCTCATGGGGAGTTGTTCATTTGTTAGTGGACAGTAGGACTGGGTTATCTGAGGACCTACTGGGGACTTTGTGGCAGGAGAGAGGCACGCTGTGATGTCAGAATACTCCAGCTGTAGCATATTTGATGAAATAAATATGACAAAACTCGGGCCACTGCTGAAATCAGGCATAGAATGTACAAGTGTTCATGAGATCATTCCCTATGTTTTTTCTGTATGCTTGAAGTTTTTCATAATAAAAGGTTAAAAAATAAATGGGTAGGCCGGGCGCGGTGGCTCAAGCCTGTAATCCCAGCACTTTGGGAGGCCGAGGCGGGTGGATCACGAGGTCAAGAGATCGAGACCATCCTGGTCAACATGGTGAAACCCTGTCTCTACTAAAACTACAAAACATTAGCTGGGCATGGTGGCACGTGCCTGTAATCCCAGCTACTCAGGAGGCTGAGGCAGGAGAATTGCCTGAACCCAGGAGGCGGAGGTTGCGGTGAGCCGAGATCGCGCCATTGCACTCCAGCCTGGGTAACAAGAGCGAAACTCCGTCTCCAAAAAAAAAAAAAATAAATAAATGGGTAACTTTTAAAAAATGTAGAAGCCCGAGTCCCTCCCCATGGGATCAGAATTTCTGGGGAGGAGGCCCGGCATGGGGGGTTTAAGGCCCTCAGGGACCCCGAGGACCACAAGGCAAGCTCAGGTCTCCGGTTCACTAAGGGACCTAGAAGAGCCAGGGTAGGGGGCAAGACTCTGCCACTGCCCAGGCCAGCAGGGACCGCCGCCTGGTGGAGACATGCCATGACCCCCATGGCCCCCATCCTGTGGTCCACCACCACCCTGCACCAGGCCCCAGGCCCCAGGCAGCTGCTGTAAGGTGCTGATGTCACCAACCCTATGCCCGCCTCCCACCCCTCCCGTGGAAATCTGGGGCTGCTGGGCTAGGACATGCCGTTCCTGGGCCCCTGGGATGCTGCCTCTGTTAAGGGTTAATGCAGCCCCCTGTACATGTCCCTCCCCCCAGCTTCCTCTGCAGTCCTGGTCCACCCTGAAGTGAGAGGGCTCCAGGCACACTTGAAAGGGGAGGGGTGGAATTTCCTTGGGAGAAGGGAGAAGGATGAAAGATGAAAGAGGAGCAAATGCCAGAATTCCTACATGCTCAACCGTCCCAACACTCTTCCCCACCCTGCCGCACACAGCCGGAGAGACCCCCACGAAGACGCTGGACCCTCCATGGGGCAGACTCCTGGCCAGCCTGGAATGGAGATGAGACCCCAGGCTATGGACAGGCCTTGTGGACATGAGACCCTGTCTCCCCTCAGGCCCTGCAAAGGCTCAGTAAGGCCAGCCCTGCCCATCCCTGCCCACAAGGCAGCACTCACCAGAGCCTCCTCCAAGGTGGTGAGGATTGTGTGTAAGGCAGGGCCCGGGAATCTTGTCTCTTAGTGCCCACCATGTACAGGCATCAGCAAGGGCCAGTCCCAGCGTAGAGCATTCACTGTCCGCCAGAGCCCTGGTGCTCGAGGTATTCCTTCTGGGGAGGGAAGGGTCACCTGACCCTCTGGGGAAGGGCTGGAGGGGACTGGCATGTCCAGCTGTCAGCTGGATGCTCTGCTGCCCTGGGGCAGGGCCAGAGGGGGTGGGAGGGAGGGGTCAAGGGGAGGAGTGAGAAGCGGGGGAGGGAGAAGTGGTCTCAGGCAAGGGAGAGTCCTTATCAGCTGCCCACACCATGTCAGGACCTGGGCACCAAGGGCCGATCACCCCAAGGCCCCTGGTTATTTTTTGATTCCTCATTCAAAAGAAAAGGGGTGAGTCTCGGGTTGGGGGGTTCACGCTCTCCCTTCTGCTGGGCTTCTTGGCCCATCCTCTCTGCGGGAACCTCACTGCAACTTGGCCCAAGCTGTGGCTGCCAGAGAGAAGGAAGTCAGGAAGCGAGACGTTCAGTCAGCAGTCAGGCTGAGGACAGTCCGTCCATCAAGAAGCATTTTTTGAAGCCCTCTGCTAGCACTGACCAAGCACCCCAATGTCAGGGGATTACAGCTGGGGAGCTCAGCAAGTCAGAGGGCAACTCCAGGAAAAGTGTCTGGTGAGAGAATAGAGGACTTTGCAGGGAGCTGGGAGGGCATCCTGGACAAGGAGAGCAGCTGAGAGCTGAGGGAGAAACAGGGTCCTTTGGTTGACTGGCGGAGGGTGGTGAGAAGGGGGTCTAGCTACAGGAGAGCCCGCGCAGAGGCCCAGAGGCAGGCGGGAGCAGGGTCGGGAGGTGGAAGCCTGCAGGGTGGGACTGGGGAGAGATGGGGCAGGGACGAGGCGGCCTCACCAGCCTCTGTCCTCAGCTTCTGGGAGGAACGAAGGTGCTTTATGCCAGAAAGAGTCAGAGTCAGGCTTGTGTTTAAAACTCTCAAAGGCAGGCAGACAGATGCTGTCCTCTAGAAGAGTTCTAGCCTCGTCGGGAGAGGGGGTGGTGAGGGAAAGGAGAGGGTGAGTTCCTGAGATGTTGAGGAGTCAGGCTGCTGACGGCGTGGTCTGGGAGAGAGGGGGTGAGGGCAAAGGACAGGGTTCATCAAGGGACAGGCTTCAGGCCAAATAGCCCTGGACCAGTATGAGGAAGATCAGGCTACCCTGGACATTTGGCCAAAGTTCCCCTGGGCACTGGTGCCCCAGCTGCCTTTCTTTGGCCACTCCATGTGTGGGTGAGGGGCTCAGCCTTCTCTCTGGTCAGAGACGCTGCCTGGTCTGTTCAGGCCCAGCTTGCCCACTGGTCTGGTCTAGCCTCTCTCAGACTCATCCCCCAGGACCCCTTTACCCGTCTCCTGGTCCCCCCAGACCTGTTGGTGCAATACTTTGTCAATTTCCATGTGTCCATGGAGAACATGCTCCGGACAGCCCCTTCTCCCTCACTGATCATTTCACAGAGGCAAAATGGGGGAGGCAGACTGGCACCCACTCTCCTGGCCCTTGCCTGCCAGCCGTTGTCCACTCCTCTATGCCTACCCCAAGGCTCGGCACAGCAGGAGGTGCTTAGCAGGTGTGCTAGCAGCAAGAGAACAAGGGGTGGCTGGGCGCGGTGGCTCAGCCTGTAACCCTAGCTTTTGAGAGGCAGAGGCAGGAGGAATGCCTGAGCCCAGGAGGCCGAGGCTGCAGTGAGCTGGGATTGATCATGCTACTGCACTCCAGCCTGGGTGACACAGACAGACCCTGTCTCCAAAACAAAAAAGCGTGATGGAGGGGCCGCAGCCCGTGGGGGCCCACCTACCTGCCCAGCTGCCCTTGGGTGGCTGAGCTTCTCTCCCACCTACACTGTGTGGATGGACGTGGGCCTCCCTACACCCAGATAGAGCAGAGCCCCACAGGTATAACAGGAATTCCTGGGGTGTCCTGAAGCCTGGTTTAAAGTGGGGTGTGGATCCCATGCTCCCCTCCCTGACCCCTGACTAGGTGGTTGACTGATCACATTTCACCAGGGAAGGCACATGGCCTCCTGCGTGCTCTGCCCCTCCCGCTGCCCAGCTGTGTGCTGGGCTCTGGTTACCTGGCCCTGGAAGACGGTATGACCTCCTTTCCCCCCAGCCCTGCCCTTCCTCCCCTGTCCCCATCATGCTGGACTCAGATCCCTATTCTGGGAACCCAGGAACTACCACAGGGATGAGCAGGAGGCCCTTCAGGTCCAGAGGGCGAAGGACTTCCCGCTTGAGCAAGATGGCCGGTGAGTGCCCTGGCACCCAGGCCTCCGGAAGGGCCGGTCCACATTCCACCACCTGCTTGTTGTGTTTATTTTCTGCCGTTGTAAAGAGCAAGGTTCCATGCTGACTTCTTATTCTTCTATTTATGTAACAACGTTTTCGAGTCCCTACTATGTGACCTGAGACATACGTCAGTAAACACACACAGGGCCCCGCCGTCCAGAACCAGTGATCTGGTACTTTCCTGACGCAGTCAAATGGGCATTTGATTTCTGTTTTCCGACTTCAGCCAATTTCTCTCCACGGTCATTTCCCCAAAGCTCAGCTTCCCTTCCAAGATGCCTGCTGCGGTGCCTCTTTCCATAGCCATGTCTGGGACCCACCTTGCTCCCTGCCTTCCCTCTGGTCCTGGTTTCTGGAAATCAGTCCTGACCAGTGTGGCACTTGCTCTTCTGTGGACCAGGGCATCCTAGGGCAGCCCTTAGATGCCGCATTCGGAGGCAGGAAACACCTGGGACTTGAATGCATGCACTTACTATTTGGTGGGCTGGTCTCTGGCCATCCCCCGCTTCCCTCTCCCTCCCCAGCCTGGACTGACCCTTGAGGACTTCCCCCTCACTGCTGCCTTCCCAGGCTGCTCATTGGTCACCGTGTCCTATGGATTTCGTGTCCCAAACATTTCTCGAATTGGTCCCCTTTTTTCCATCTCCATGGGCCTGGCCTGGCCCACCATGTGGTCATGGATGACTGCAGTAGCCCCTCATGTTCTCCCACTTCTCGTTACAAGCCATTCTCCCCAGAGTGATGTTTAGAAACAATTCAAGTCATGTCACTTTGCTGCTTAATATTCTTCAGTGGCTCCATCCTTAGGATAAAGTTCCAATCCCATGCCCAGGATTCAGCCCTTGCCTACCTCCTCAGCCCCACATCACACCTGGCCAATTCCTCTTCATCCTTCCGATGCCAGCTCCAGCTCCTGTGTCACCACCTCTGAGAAGCCCTCCTGGCCCTTTCTGACACAGCCTACCGCCTAGTTCCTTTTTTAAGAAGTGTTTATGCCAGCTGTCATTGCATATTTACGTGTGTGACTTGCTCCTTGCCTGTCTCTCCTCCTTGGGGATGGTGACTTGGCTCGGTTTGCTCGACGCTATGTCCTCAGCATGTAACCCAGCGCCGGCCTTCCAATACTTGTTTGGTGAATGAATGAAGGAGCCAATAAACACGTGGACACATCCTGGGTCTCTGGCTTTCCCTCCCGGGCTCTCCGTGCTCTGGCTTGCACAACAGCGGTTTCCTTTCCTCTCCCTGACCCCGGTTGATGGGGGCCTTGGGCTCGGTTACTGTGGCTGTGTGGCATCATCCCTCCTCAACAGCTGCCCCTGTCCCTCCTCCCATGACCCAGTGTTCTTGCCCTAGAGACAACAACCTCCTTCTCCTTCTAGGACGTGTCATCACCCCTTCCCACAGTGTAAACATGGGCGGCGGCTATAGACCTGCCCAAGTTCCAGTAAAAACTCCCCTCCCATGCCGGGCTCCCCTCTCGCTGTGCCCCAGTTTGGCATAGCACCTTCCCTTCCCTCTCCTCCCTGCCGCCCAAGGGCTGGAGAGTGACCTCTCTGAGGCCACACGAGGCTGAGCGGCTTGTGGCTTCCCTAGCATCACATCCCTGCTGGCCTGACCTGGCCCCCAGCTCCCAGCCCCACCCGGGAGCTTCCAGCCTGTGTATCCGATCCTGTTTGGGGCTCTGCATCAGAGCCTGCCCTGTCAGCCTCCCAAACAGCTGAAAAGACGGGTAGGAGGGCCGGCCCAGACCGCTGCCGCCGGGAATCTGGGAGGATGAGCCACTGAGCCACAGACTGCGAAATCTGGGAGGTGATAAACTCTCTCTGGAAGGCAGATGGCCCCATTGACTAGGAAGCGCAGGGGTGTCACCACTCAGGTCCTCAGGGACAGACAACCTCTGTAGGCCGTGTGTGTGTGTGTGTGTGTGTGTGTGTGTGTGTGTGTGTGTGTGTCTGGCCTCGGGAATGGGAGGGCTGAAGGGAGCCGCCATGCCCACCCTGTGGCCATGATCAGTAGAAGCAGGTGAGGGGCAGAGGGCCGGCCTGGCCCTGAGCTCTTCACACACTTTATCTCATTTGGTCCTCACAGTAGCCTTGTGAGGGAAGGGCCATCATTCCCCTCATTTCACAGCGGAGGAAACAGAGTGGGCTAGCTGGGATTTGAATCTGGGGCCCTACTCCTAACCCAGATTCATTATCTGGCAGCCTCCAGACACACCTTGGTGCAGAGACACAGCTCCACCCAAGGGGGAAGGCACCGGTCACCCCTCTCTTCCCCAGCCAAGCCCGGGGCCATGTTGGGGCCTGGGGAAGGCTGGCAGGAGGGGAGGAGATGGCCGCCCCCTCACCCCCCGGCACGTGGACACAGGCTGGGGACTTGGCACTGGGCCTGCTCTCCCGGCAGCGCTGGGTCGCCATCCACATCCCCCAGACTACACCACATCTGGCTGAGCCCTAAGAAAAGATAGCCCTGCTGAGGGCCACACAGGAAGCTGGGACGCAGGGGACTCAGGCCTGCCACCTCCCAGGCCAGGACAGCCCTCACAAAGTCAGGTTCTTGGGGACTTTTAATCCACGCAAGAGCCAACATAGAGAAGCCAATTACATGCCATAGATATTGCAGCTCGCGTCTCCTTTGCCCCATGAAGTCTGCGTGTAACATTTCTGAGGCCTCCACAGTGGCTGACATCAAGGGCTGCAGGAGGAAGGTGGCCAGCCGGGGCCCTGCCCTGCCCTGTCCACTGATCCTTGCAGAACTTTGCTGCTCTCGCTAGGGTGGAAGGCCGCTTTCCTCACAAGAACAGGCTGCCACCTGCCTTCCAGGCATGAGTGGGAGAGTGGGAGGGCCCTGCCCTGAGCATCTCCCCAGGGGATGCCTGAGCCCTCCACCCTTGCCTCGGTTTTGCTGGTTTTGTTGGCTCCGCTCAGACCACTCCTTCAGAGAAAGAAAGAAAATCCCCGAACGTCAGAGCTGGAGGGGACTTCAGAGGCCACCTGATAACAATCCTTTCATTTTACAGGAGAGGAGAGACACAGTTAGGCTGCAAAGAGGTGAGAGGCCCTGCCTGGGGTGGCAGAGTGGCTGTGGATGAGCCAGAACCGGACCCCAGTCCCCGAACAGCCAGTCCCTTCTGCCGCGCAGATCGAGGCTGGACTGTGGTGTGGACTCACCTGGGCTCCATTCCTCACTCTGCCATTTCCAGGGGACGTCACTGTGGATGCGCATCTTAACCTCACTGGGCCTCAGCTTCCTTATCTGTGAAATGGAGATAATTTTCTTTGGACTGTTGTGAGGTTTCAATGATATGATGCAAGTAAAAAGCATTTAGCAGTGTGTCATGCAAGGTTGGCCCAAATCTTGAGTATTGTTATTTTATATTTTAGAGACAGGGTCACGCTGTGTTGCCCAGGCTGGATTGCAGTGGCACAGTCATGGCTCACTGCAGGACTCAAGTGATCCTCCTGCCTCAGCTGTCTAAGGACATAGGATGATGGGTGTGCACCACTGTGGACCTTTTTGTAGAGTTGGGGATCTCACTATGTTGCCCAGGCTGGTCCGGAACTCTTGGGCTCGAGGAATCCTCCTGCCCCAGCCTCCCAAAGTGCTGGGATTACAGGGATGAGCCACTGCTCTTGGCCTAATTTTTTTTTTTTTTTTTTTTTGAGACAGAGTCTCTCTTTGTCATCCAGGCTGGAGTGCAGTGGTACGATCTCCACTCACTGCAACTGCAACCTCCACCTCCTGAGTTCAAGAGATTCTTCTGCCACAGCCTCCCGAGTAGCTGGGACTACAGGTGCTCACCATGCCCAGCTGTTTGTATTTTTAGTAGAGACGGGGTTTCACCAAATTGGCCAAGCTGGTTTCGAACTCCTGACCTCGTAATCCACCTGTCTCAGCCTCCCAAAGTGTTGGGATTACAGGCATGAGCCACTGTACCCAGCCTGGCCTATTATTTTTAATAACATGGGGCTTGGTCTCTGGAAGTGGAAATGAGGTTGCCATACTTTCTTTTTTTTTTTCTTTTTTTTTTTTTTTTGAGACGGAGTTTCGCTCTTGTTACCCAGGCTGGAGTGCAATGACGCAATCTCCGCTCACCGCAGCCTCCGCCTCCTGGGTTCAGGCAATTCTCCTGCCTCAGCCTCCCGAGTAGCTGGGATTACAGGCACGTGCCACCATGCCCAGCTGACTTTTTGTATTTTTAGTAAAGACGGGGTTTCACCATGTTGACCAGG